CTTAAGATCATAACTTAATGTAATCTTCTAATTTGGACCCTTATGCCAATAAAACTTTCATTGTTGAAACTGATGCTAGTGGTTATGGAATTGGTGTTGTTCCTATGCAAGAGGGACATCCTATAGCCTTTATTAGCAAAGCATTATCTCAAGACTTGCTGCTATGTCAGTTTATGATAGAGAGTTATTGGCCATTGTCCAAGTTGTTACTAAGTGGTCTCAGTACTTGTTAGGTCTGAGGTTTATTATAAGGACTGATCAAAGAGCTTTGAAGTACCTTATGGAACAAAATTTGCACACAAACTCACGATTATTGTGGTCAACAAAGTTGATGTCATTTGACTTTTATATTGAATACAAAAAAGGAGTTGAGAACAAAGTCGTTGATGCACTGTCGAGAGTTATCGGGGCTGAGTTACTTGCTTTGGTGATTTCCCCACCTAACATTGCTCTCTTTCAAGCTATTGTGGATAGTTGGCACTCAGACCCAGAGCTTACACAGTTGATTGCAGATTTACAAGTTAATCCTCACTCTCATAGGCAGTTTACTTGGTTGCAAGGCTAATTAAAAAGGAAAGGAAAATTAGCGATTGGCAAGGTGCAAAGTTTAAGGAATGACATTATGTCCATATGGCATGCTATCCCTCTAGGAGGTCATTCAGGTGTAGAAGTTACCCTCAAGAGATTGTTGACACTATTTTATTGGAAGAACATGAGAACAAAAGTGAAGGGTTTCATTCAAAGGTGTGATGTTTGTCAAAAGAACAAATCTGATTTAGCTGCTTACTGTTTTATTTAAAAATATATGTAAAAGGAAAATGACTGAGTTTTCGAAAAACTGATTAAACTTATGGTTTAAGAGAAATCGGGTTTCCAAAAGGACAGAGTCGCCACTTAATTTTTTAATAAAAATCAAGAAAAATATTAAAGGGTTTTCAATGGATTTAAACAGATAAAATCAATTGAAAAAGGGTTCGAAGTTCAATATACATTCCGAGAAGGTGTTAGGCCCTCGGAATGCCCGCTAACTTGCGGTTGACCGGCGATTTGACTAAAATGACTTTGACTAATTTTGAGAAATTTTAACATAAGAATATTTAAATAAATTACAATATATAATTAATTTTGAGAAAATAATTAGATAAACGACGCATTTTTTCTTTTTTAGAGAAAAGAATTCAAAATGACACATTGGACTTGTGATACAAGTAATTAGAATTTCAATAAAACTAGACTAACTAAAATTTATCTAATTCATTTTTTAAGATAATAATTTGAACCAATTAGAGCATGAGACCATTTTAAATCAATTGATAAAAAGAGAACACACACAATTTTATTTTATTTTAGTTCATTTGAGAAAAGTGTTAACTTAAAACCATTTAAATAAGTAAAATGATTAAAGGAAGAGGCATTCAAAACATGTCCTTTTAAAAAGAACAAAAGATTTAATTAAAATGAAACATAGCCAATATATTTGATTAGTAAGATAAAATGAATACAAAAACAAATATAAGAATGTATTAAAGGTAAGCCAATGTAAAGAAATTAACTTATCGTTTGGGGAATTTAATTAGGTTAGTTAACAATTTAAAAGTTAGAGTCAACACGCAATAAACAATAAATAATCATAATTAAATAATTAAAGAGTAGGGAGAAATTGAATTTGGGCCTCCTTTTGGGCCAAATTCGCTGAAATTTGGGGCTTAGGCTCAATCCCGTTTTTGTATACACTGGTTGTATATCAGTGTATATCGTATGAATCCAGCCCATTTTTCTTGTATATAAGGATGTATACCAAATGTATACAACCTAATTCAACTTCCAAAACACCTGTTTCAATTTTTGGCCTTGCATTTGTTGCGTTTTGACATGTATAGCATGTATACAAAATCTGTATACCAGCCTTTCCCTGCGTTTTTGCTTCCATTTACCCTGTATTTTAGCTTCCCTTTCAACCTTATTGGATCGACGAGGCAGAATCGAACTTAGGCTCGAGGATGTGCAAAGACGGAGTCCAAAAGGGACTCGAACGGAGTTCAAAGTGAACTCGAAGCAAATTTTCACATGCAAAGGGAGTGTGTCGAGATTAGTATTCGCACTTAAACTTATTCACAAGAATAACATTTTTAATAAGAATACAATAAGGCATGATTTTGATTTATAACAAAGCAAGCTAGACATCTCACAACAAAACGAAGCTACTACCAATGTACACTTTAGTGGATTCAAAGAGATACAAATTAAGAAAGGAGAAGCGTACATTTGATAATAAGAAACCACATTTTTTATTTAAGTTGATCAACAAAGAGACAAGTTGGAAACTTTAATGAGGTGACTAAAGAACATACTGATCTTATTTGAGCTAATGAACCGACGTGGCGGGTAAAGGTGCATATGGACAGCAAGAAACAACAAGAAACAAGCTGGTGTTTATCACGTACTCAACTAAAAATTAAAATAAACACGACATAGATGCGGCCAGTTGAGCGTAGAGCATATCTCTTTGGGTATTTGCAATTGAGAAATCATTTTGAGAAAAAATACAATGAAAAAAAAAAAATTGGCCAATCCTAAAATAGAGCAAAGACATGGAAAATATATGCAACAGTGATCTTACATTTCCAAGCTTAGCACAAAAGAGACGGAAAATAAAAAAAGACTATCCTCCTTTGATTAAATTTATACACAATCTTTTATCGAGATCTTAGTGCTAATTCAAATATCGAGGAAAAGACACGAAAAGCAAGATAGAAAGACCATAAATATGTACAACATTTATAATAAGCTCATATGACCCCATACAACTGATAGTAAAGCAAGCTAAACATCATAACTACGAGCAAAGAGGCCATGGCTGATGGTCTTGTATTTTATTTGTCCTAGCATAATGGCTAGATATATAAACTTAAATGACATCCTAGGCTCTAAACTAAACAGTGACAATTGAAGTTGTAAGACTGGCTAATCAACATTCTGCAGATTAACACATCCAAACAGCCTAGGACCATAAATATTCGTCCACAAACAGAGCACTAGACGATATCTATAATGAATACCACAACTAGGCAACCACTAATTTCGACAAAGGCGAGTAACAACTTAGTGTAAGTTAAACAAAATACCAAACTAAACTGAAATACCTTCCCCACAAAACGACTCATTCGAAGAAAATCAGACGTTCATACTAGTGAAACTTAAAATGAAATTAGAAGAAAACCAGTCGACTATGCTTATTTTGCAGTGACTAAAGACTTTAACCCCCACAAAAATGAAAATACACGGCTGGAAACTAAGGAATATTGAATTAGAACAGATTATAGCTTTGGTCACGATACGCCAACAACACACACAAGATACAATAATTGGCACTCCAACCACATCGAGAGAAACGATAGACTATTTCGGACAATGACATAGCAATACACATACCATTCGGAAAGAAAGAATGAGAAATAGGAACAAAGATGTTACCTTTCCTGGAGCAGCGATACTAGGACAATAACGAACTGACCACGAAAGAGCTTCCACCACCACACGAGACTCCGGCGAGATTTGAACGGGCAGAATACAGCAAACAGGAAGTTTCAAGAAAACTTTTTCGCGCAAGTGTATTTCTTCTTCTAGATTCTAGCTAATTGCAATACTTTCTCTAACTATTTTTCTAATACCAAATTTTCCAATTCCTCCCCGAGCTCCCCCTTAACAGTGAATAATATGCCACATATATAGAAGGAAAATTAGGGTTCCGAAATGGGGAAACGGATAGAAATTCCAAATTCAAAAATTGAATTCCTTCACCAATTTGGACGAGCACCTTTTCCTTGAGACTTTGGCTCATTCCGAAAGGGAAAAGGAGACAGACGCATGCCTCTGTCTTGCTGTTGCGACATTAATGGGATAAGGACGTTGAGGAAGAAAACAAAAAAAAAACAGAGTACTGCCTGACTTGCTCGTTGCTTTTTCCGTCTATCACTGTATCCTCTGTGAAGGCGTTAAATCGAGCAGGCGTCGTTTTGTACTGCTTGGATTGTCGTTTGAGTCATTGTCGTTTATGTCGTGAATTCACGCAATTGAATCGTGAGCTACTGCCGTTTGGAATGTTGCTTACGTGAAGGTTCTGGGTTTCTTTTGTGCATATGGGAATGGGCCGGGTCTGGGTCATTTGAGTGGGCTGGAGATAAGAGGAAAGGCAAGTTGGGAGTGGGCCTGCGTTGTTGAGATCTGGAAATGCTGGAAAATTTTAAAAGAAAGGCCCAAATTGGTCTTTTTAAGTTGGACGTGTGAATTGGATTTAAGTTTTTGACCATATAGGTCTAAACCATAGCCAATTGGGAATTAAGGATATAGCCAATCTTGGTTAATTAAGATAGATTCGGCTAAAAGTCAAATAAGACGGGTTAATATAATTAATTTACGAGCTTCTTATTCTTAACGAAATAAAATAATTAACTTGATAATAATATAATTAATTTAAACATGAACTAATTAATTCAAAATCGTAATTATGATTTAAATTAAACTAAGTTAGTAAAACACTTAGCTAAAAATAAATAAAAATCTTTTGATATGATTTTCAGATATTTATAAAATACACTAATTAGACACATAATTATATAATAATTAACTTAATTATAAACTAATTAACTCGAAATATAAGTTACTAATTAATTTAAACCAAATAGCCAAATATTTAAATAAAACTAAATCGTTTTGAGACAATTTTCGAATATTCATAAAAATACTAATTATATGCAAAATTATATAGAAGACATATTATTATTTAAAATTATAAAAAGTGACAAATTATTTAAAATAACTTGCAAACTATATATTTTATTTTATTTTCAAAATTTCTAAAATTAATTATTTTAAATCATTTGAAAATTAAGAAGTTCGAAAATTAATTATATCGGGGAAGGTCAAAATTGGGTGTCAACACTTACCATGGGTTGTTACAACCATTACCTATTCCTGAGGTGGTGTGGTCTCAAATTAGTATGGACTTCAGTGATGGTCTTCCCAAGTCTCATAGCAGTGAGGTGATTCCGATTGTCGTCGACAGACTCAACAAATATGGTCATTTCCTCCCACTGAAACATCCCTATACTGCTCAATCAGTTGCCCAGGTGTTTTTGGATACTATTGTGAAATTACATGGCTTACCTGATACTATAACCAATGATAGAAATGGTGTGTTCCTGAGCTCTTTTTGGTAGGAGCTATTTACTCTTCAAGGGGTATTATTGCATACATCTACAACTTATCATCGTCAGTCTGATGGACAAACAGAAGTGTTGAATAGATGCCTTGAAACCTACTTAAGATGTTACTATAGTGATGATGCTTCCAATTGGTTGACTTGTTTGCCTATGGCTGAGTATTGGTATAAAACTTGTTTCAATTCAGCCATACAAAACACACCATATGAAGCCTTATATGGCAGGCCACCTCCTCTACATCTCCCTTACTTATCTGGTGAATCAGCTTCTAGCGAAGTTGACACTACCTTGGTGAACAAAGAACTTAAGTTGCAACTCCTTAAGCATCATTTGCATAAAGCTCAACTCCGAATGAAGCAACAGGCAGATTCCTATAGAAGTAAGAGGTATTTTATTGTGGGGGATTAAGTCTACTTTAAGGTGCATCCCTACAAACAAGTGACTATCTCTCACCACTCTTCTCATAAGCTTGTTGTTAAATACTATGGTCCATTTCAGATCATTAAGAAGGTTGGCCCTGTGGCCTACACTCTTTTGTTGCCTAATTCTGTCAAGATTCACAAAACTGTGCATGTCTTGTTAAAAAAGTGTTATGAAATGTCTTCCCACATTTCTTATCCTTTGATTGTTGGCCTAGCCAATCTAAATTTCCCTACTCCAGAGTCTGTTTTACAGCGAATAATGGTCAAGAAGGGAAACAAGGTTGTTGCTCAGGTATTGGTTAAATGGGTTGGTCTTCCCGCTGATGTAACTACCTGGGAATCTGCTACCATCTTGAAGACAAGGTTTCCATCCTTTGATCCTTAAGGACAAGGATCTTTTGTATGAGGGAGTATTGTTACAATAATTTGGGAATTCAAAAGTTAGTTGACAAAGTTAGTTAAACACTGTTTAACAAAATCAGTTACAACTAACATCTAACTAACTATCACTACACTGATTATTGTAGCTTAACAATGTTTAACTAACTTTGTCAACTAACTTTTGAATTCCCAAATTACTGTAACAGTACTCCCCCATACAAAAGATCTTTGTCCTCGAGGATCAAATGATGGAAACCTTATCTTCAAGACGGTAGCAAATTCCCAAGTGGCTACATCAACGGGAAGACCAACCCATTCAACCAATACCTGAGCAACAACCTTGTTGCCCTTCTTGACCATTCTTCGCTGTAAAACAAATTCTGGAGTAGGGCAATTTGGATTGGCAAGGTCAACAGTCGGAGAAAGGCAAAAGACAACTGGGCAGGAAACAAATTGTGTTGTATAACTATAAGTATATAGGGCGAAGAGATATATATATGTATTTGTATATATATTTTTCTCGCTTTATACAAACACAAATACAATTTATACATTTCTGTTTGTATAAAATGAGAGAGGCGAGAGAGAGAGAGTGACGAGCGAGATATATGGGGAGAGAGGCGAATGACAAAGTGTTTGCTACGAATTAGAATTAAACGAAACTATAGTTATAGCATTTAATTTTAATTAATAGTTTGCTATTTTAACAATTTTCCCTTTTTTGAATACCTTATTTATGAACATGATTTGCTTATTTAGTAAGATGGCAAACGAATTGATAGGTTTTTGATACTTTTTTATAAGTAATGAAGTTTGCCCTTTTTTTTCAATAAAAATAAATTTAGAGAAGTTCAAACGGGCCGGAGAATAAAAGCCAATATAACTAAGGACTCGTTTGAGCATGAATTTTTATTTTATTTTACTTTATTTAAAAATTATTGTTTGATCATATAAATTTTAAATATAACTTGTTGTATATGAAATTTACAAAACACCAAAAACATGTTTTTACTTTAACTTTTATCATTTTTTTAAAAAAATTATTCTAAACATTTTATTTTTATAAAATAACATCATTTAAATTATATTTCATATTTCCATCCCATTTTTAAAAAAATTAAAGGAAGTAAGAAATTTTATTTTGTTTTCACGTCAAATGCCCACAATTCACAAGGCACAAACTGAGTAAGAAAACAATTTAAAATTTAATACTGTATTCTTTGTGTTTGATTTTGGATTCGATGTTTCCGAAGTATTTAGTAGCGCAGCAAAACGGAAAAGACGTTAGGCCTACCCCGCTTTTAGCTCTATAAAATTCTTTTGCCAAAATTTAAAACCCAAACCAATTACTAGTACTCATACTCCCTATCTGGCCCCCATTTGAATTCAAATTCTGGAAGCATTCATCTGACCTTTTTTTCATTTTTCAAAATCTCTCTCTCTCCTTCTCCCTCCACTCTCTGTGAAACCCTAGTCACTCTATACGCTCCCATATCCTCTACTTAACGCTGAAATCAACCATTTTAAGCGAACGACGGCGATATCATGACGGCGGTGTCGCAATCTGCCGGAAGAGAGCTCGAAAACCCGCCCAAGGACGGCATATCCAACCTCCGCTTCTCCAACCACAGTGATCACCTCCTTGTTTCTTCTTGGGATAAGGTTACTCACTTTTCTGAATTTCTAAATCTCTGAGTTCATTTGATTTAATTTTGAGCAATTCATTAGATTTCATCTCTTTTGTGACTGTTAGATCTTACTAGTTTGAATTACTTGCTTGATTTTTATATGCTTTACTTGAGCTGAGAGTCTATAAGACTGCGCACACACCACCCCTGTGGGATTACTCTAGATATGTTGTTATATAGTTAGTTTGATTTTTAAGTTTAATTGCTTTGCATTTTATTAGACGGTCCGTTTGTACGATGCAAGTGCTAATGCCTTGAGAGGAGAGTTCATGCACGGAGGTGCAGTGCTTGATTGTTGCTTCCACGATGATTCATCTGGATTCAGTGCCAGTGCTGATAATACCGTTAGAAGGTAATATGATGTTGTGTTTACTATTTTACCTAGTGTGTGGATATGGTGCATAGCTGAAGTATCCTGGTTAGGTGAATTGGTGAATATTATTCTATTGTTTTTCTTTAGGATTTAACTTTGTATACTAATTTGCTGGCTCTCTGGTTACTGGTAACAATTTTGGAGGAAAAAAACAACTGTTATAATGCTGGAAATTAGATAATGAACACATACCTTTTCAGTTTCAAGTGATTTCCTGATGATAAATATCATCATTTTGTGTTAAGATCGTGAATGGATATTGAAGTTTGAGAAATAGTCATCATTGCCATCCATGTCATACTGTTATTTCTTATTACGGTATAGTATGTAATTGCTTGAACATTTACCTCGGTTATAATAACTTTCTCACTGGAAAATGTTTTCCCCTGTTCTAGGCTTGTGTTCAACTCTGGAAGAGAGGATATCTTGGGAAGGCATGATGCACCTGTTCGCTGCATTGATTACTCATATGCAACTGGTCAGTGTAGATAATTCACGGCGTTTACAATTTTCAATTGACAATTTAAGTTACTTCTTGCTGCTCTAAGATATGACTTTGTGGAGTATTTATTTGAAATATAAGGAGTCTGGAAAAACATCACTAGTCAGATAAAAAATTATCTTGTGCATTCTGCTCTGCACATTCCAGCTTTTAATCAGGCTTTGGTGAAAACTGAAAGAATCTTTACACCTTTTCACAATTCAATTCTTATACTTTCTGATTCTGTTCAATATTATGTTCCCCACTGTAAAGCTACCAAAAATGATAGTAATACGTTATTGTAAGAAAATCATATGTCCAATATAATGGTGGTTCTATAGAAGTTTCTGCAACGGAAATTCAATCAGTTCAATCGTGACTCAAGTTCTGTTTGGTTGATGAAAAAGTTGCTTGTGCACCTATCTTTTTTTCTTTCTCCTTTTTTATAAACTTTTTGCCTATCTCTTCAAAAGTGCCCAGTATATTCCTCTTACTATTGTTGTCAAATAGTAACCTAATCTCATGCATCAGTTAGTATGATATAGTCCAATATGACTTTAGTCCATTATGATTATGCGGACCCTATAAATGTTGATTGGAAATCTCAATGGTGGCATTCTGTTATTTCAGCTTAGAGTCAGTATGGTTTGAAAGTTGGATCCAATAGAATTATATGATTTTCTTGTGTGGCATAGGACAAGTGATAACTGGTAGCTGGGACAAAACCTTGAAATGCTGGGATCCTAGAGGTGCAAGTGGACAGGAACATACTCTTGTTGGAACTTATACACAACCAGAGCGTGTTTACTCTCTCTCTCTTGTTGGGAACCGATTAGTTGTAGCAACTGCTGGAAGACATGTGAATGTCTATGACTTGCGGAACATGAATCAACCTGAACAGCGGAGGGAATCATCCTTGAAGTATCAAACTAGATGTGTGCGGTGTTATCCCAATGGAACAGGTTTATTCCTTAATCTCTATTTGCTGCTCCATTGTAGAGTTTTAATGGCTCAATATTGGACATCTGGTTGCAAGGTTTCTGCTTTTCACTATCCTAGAGCTAATTGCAGATAACTCTAATGATTGACATCATTTGGGGTCCATTTTTCACTGTATTGGAATCAATTATCGATCACCACAACTGCCTACTTTCATAGGACTTCCACTCTTATGTTATTTAAAATTTTCAGGAGTCAAAAACATTAACAAACACTAAATGTATCAGTTATATTTATCTTTCTGGAGTCTCAGTAGTCAAAATAAAATTATGAGTATAGTTCTTCCAGGGTTGAACTGTAAATAACCGATGTTTACTTTCAGTTCTGTAATATTTGGTGGTTTCAGTAAACGAGTTAATCTGATCCATTAAATTAAAGAGTCTGGACAATCCTAAGTTTGAAATTCACCATAAAACCACATTTACATCATTATCTGTATGCAAAACCTAGTGACACAAATATTCTTTGAAGTCTTTCATGATGAATTTTGGAGCACACTTTTGATGGCCCATTTGTAGCAAATTCTTGGCATAAATGAAAGTTAACTTATTGGATCATGAATGTTAGAGCTTCAACCGACATTTAGTTCTGATTAAGTCTTGTGCTTTCATCAATTTTCTGGTTTCTTTGATGCATTGCCTAGTTGTTCTCATTATAAGTGTAATTTGCAGGCTATGCTCTAAGTTCAGTTGAAGGTCGGGTTGCAATGGAATTTTTTGATCTTTCTGAGTCCGGTCAATCGAAGAAGTATGTAAATTAGCTAACAATCTTTATCCATGTTGTAGTTCCTTTCAAAAGACTTCTATTTTTGTTTTCTTTGGTTTTTCCTGGCACTTTCCAATATTTACTATTTGCTTATTCTGGTTGACACTTTTGACCTTATAGAAATTAAAATTAAAGAAAATAAACAGTATGTGTTAATTTTAGAAATAGATGATTTCTTGTTTTCGGTATTGAACAGAATGAAACTATTGAAGAGGAACAGTGAAAAATATATTTATACAATTAAGTCATTTATAAGATAATTACAGTTAATCTTTATGATAAGTAATAATAGTGACATATTAAAAATGGTAATAATTTGCTACCACAAGTTAAACCACATTGCCTGTGTATACAACTTAAATCTGTTGAAGATAAAATTCTTTTAGCTCATTATACTGTACAGACAGATAAAACAGTCTCTGTACAAACAGAGAATCATTCTACAATCAAGGAAATTGAATGGGTAATATAGCCTTGATGTGAAATATAATTTTGTATAGACCTTTTATGTCCAGTTAACTTTTTGCTGGATTGTTTTCTTTCATCTAAGATATGAAATCTTAATGTGACCAATTGTATATTGTGAAATGAAGTTTGTCAATGGTTGAATAACGAGATAGAGACAGCTAGTCCTCCTGAAATTGGAAATAAGAATGGGGAACCATGTTATAGATTAGTTTTTACGATTAGCTTTCTCC